TGAGGACTAAGCTGCACCTGACACAAGTCATGGTATTTTCAATCACCTCATATGTGAGAGCTGGACAATGAATAAGGAAGACCAAAGAAGAATTGATGCTTTTGAGCTGTGGTGTTGGTGAAGAATGCTGAAAGTACTGTGGACTGCAACTAACAGATCTGTCTTAGAGGAAGTGCAGCCAGAATGATCCTTGGAGGTGAGAATGGTCAGACTTCCTCTCACCTGCCTCGGTCATGTTGTCAGAAGGGACCATTCCCTGGGTTGACACTGTGGCAGTGGGGATGGGCTCAAGTATAATGAGAATCATGGAGCTGGCTCAGGACCTGGCAGTGTTACGTTCTCCTGTGCATAGGGTCACTATGAGTGGAAGAGGACTCCACAACACCTAACAACAACAGCAACTGTGAAACCTATGAAAGCCATAACTCAACAGGACTGCCTTGTTTTTCTAGGTGCAGTCTTACTGTTTTTCTATTGCTTGTTTTAATGGGAAATATTTTAGTTTTCCTTTGCTGACAAGTTCTAGCTTTTGCAGGTTGTACTGTATTTCTCTCAAAACTTTATCAATTGCCATTGGATATCCTGTTCTGGGGCACTCATGGGAGATCTGGTGGTATAGTGCCTAAGTCATTTGACTGCTAATCAGAAGGCTGGCAGTTCAAATGCACCAGCCACTCCTTGCAAGGAAGACTGGGCAATCGATTTACTTAGGCAGAGATACCAACTAGGAAGCCCAAGGAGGAGTTGCTATGAGTCGGAATCGATTTGGCAGTGAGTTTGGTTTGAATTATCCCTAAAAAGCATATTATTCCTCTTTTCAATAAATAGGTAGTCCTGGATCATGTGCAAGTTCCGTTCCTGTATCTGTCTTTAAATTGAATTTGTAAGTAAATCAGAATAATTAAGTACGGTTCCTATCTAATGTCAGTCAAATCTTTATCTTAGTATGTAGTATATAGTGTAACTTTCTATGCATAAAAAACTTCAAAGAAGCACTTCCATAGACAGTAAAACATCTTTAACATGATAGTATGGTAATAATATTAATTTAATGCACATCTGAAAGTAGTGCCTACTAGTTACTAGAAGTATTGTATATACATCCAGTCTTCAATATAATAAGCTTTATGGTGTAAGTCGGATGTTTGTAACCAGGGGACTGCCTGTTTCCTGATTTTTGTTGGTGGTGGTGGGCTTTTTTTTTGTGTGTGTGTGTGTTTTTGTTTTGTTTTTAACCAATGAAACAAAGTTTGGAAGGTCTCTAAAGAGAAATTATCCTTCCAAATTTTACTTAGTCCCAACAGTAGAAACATAAGTATGTTCAGATCTCAAAGTAATATTTTTCTTCTCCAGATTTATATGTTGTTGTTTGCCATAGAGTCGGACCCGACTCATAGTAGTGACCCCTCCTTGGATTTCCAAGGCAGTATTACTATGGAAGTAGATTGCCCCATCTTCCTTTCGGGGAGTGGCTGGTGGGTTTGAAGGGCCAGCCTTCTGGTTAGCAGTCAAGTGCCTTAGGCACTATGCTACCAGAGATCCTCCATATATACATGTATGTATGTATTTATGTACGTATGTATATATGTCATCTGGACTTGAATTCATTTTCTTAAAAATAAAACAAATTTAAAAGAGAAGAAGGGCATATTTGAAAAGTATTTTAAGATATGTCCCTGCTCGGGTACCCAGGAGGAATTAAACCATCCGGTAAATATCCATTAGAAATTTTATTCCTGTCTCTTTAACACACTGAAAGTGAAAAGGGGGTGAGCCTCCCGAGCTGCGGAGGTTCTGATTGGTTCTCTTGGCAGGAAGTGGGCGGTGAAAGCTCCGCTTCTGTTATTTTTGGTGCCTGCAGTTTGAGAGGCCACACAAGGTTGGGCAGCGTGAAGCCAAAGTCTTACGTGCTTCTAATCACGGGCGTGGGAGCGTGGGGTGCAAAACGGGTCCCTTTTATCTCGGTGGGTGCAGGGCCCTGGCAGCGTCTTCGTGGTTGTGCCACGCCCCAGGGACCAGACCACGATGGGTCCGGGATACAATCGGACCATTTGGGCCGTGCGGTGGCCCCGGATCTAGAGGGAATGAGGTGTTACCCTTGCGCCGCCCGATGCCATCTCAGCTCCATCAAGACCCTCATCTTAACCTGAGTTCTCTTTTTCCCCTGTTCTGCAGGTTCGCTTCCGGCGTCATGGCGCAAAGGGCCTTCCCGAATCCTTATGCCGATTATAACAAATCTCTGGCCGAAGGCTACTTTGATTCTGCTGGGAGGGTGAGTTTGGTATATCCGTGCCACCATCCCCGTGACCACTGCAGTGTTCAGAATATATCTTGGTTTTGCTTGAAAAAAAGAGATGAGCATCCCTTTTAAATATTTATATAGATAGATAGATAGATAGGAGCTCTGGTAGCATAGTGCCTAAAGGCACTTGACTGCTAACCAGGAGGCTGGCGGTTCAAACCCACCAGCCACTCCTCGGAAGGAAGGTTGGGCAGTCCTACTTACATAGTGATAACTGCCTCGGAAACCCAAGGAGGGGTCGCTAGGAGTCGGGGCCGACTCGATGGCAAATAACAATATAACAACAATATGTATATATATAAAATTTGGGGGGACATATATAAAACATACATAAAATACATATTAAAATGTGCACTTGGAGCACTGGCATAATGTTGAATTTATGAAACAAGCAGTCATTGTAAATACTACTATTAGTTAAAAATTGAGGGAATATCCTTAGCTGTTGATAATATAATTGTAAAAATTGGTAGATACACAGTTTACCATGTAATTTTGGATTTTCCATGCATTTTGATTTGCTTCTTAAAGAGAACTGAGGAATTCTAATGGTAGTCACATATTCCTTTATGATTGTTCATATTTACAGAACTAAAAGTACAGACCAAGTAAGAACAAGAGTAAAACTGTCCTTTGTAAAAGGATGGTTACAGGATGGTTTAATTCCTGGGTATGGAATGGGGACACATCTTAAAATAACATGCAAATGTGACAAATATGCCCTTCTTTTCTTTTAAATGTTAGATTTAGGACATAGGCATGAAATCTTACGTACTATTGACATTTCTTGCCAGAACATCCCAGCTTAAAACACTAGTAAACTTGTTAACATCTCACAAGCCACTGTGCAAGAGAGAACCTGGATGTGTGATAACCAGAAGCCTCTGTTTTCTTCTGCTTCTTTGGGTGAACATAATTGCTGAGAGAGAAAACAGGTCTTTTTAAGAATACTTAGTTTTGAGAACTGCCACTCTTCTGTCAGTGTGTCATACTGTGGTGGCTTGCATATTGTTATAAGGCTGGAGGCTATGCCACTGGGATTTCAAATACCAGCGGGGTCACCCATGGTGGACAGGTTTCAGCAGAGCTTCCAGATGAAGACAGACTGGGGAGAAGGATGGGGCCATCCACTTTGAAAAACTGGCCACTGAAAACCATATGAGTAGTAAGTAGTGAAACACTGTCAGGGATATTACTGAAGCAGGCACTGTGAACAGGCACAGGAGCCACCTGAGTTTCGTTCTGTTGTACATAGGATCACAGTGACACAGAGCTAACTTGATGACAGCTAACAGCAACGATGACAGTGGTTCTGAGAAATCCTGAGAGTTAGATTGGAAGAGTGATCTCTAAGTTTTAGTGCACACAATTCTTAATTTGAACTTGCCACTCATAAAAATAATTCACATGTGATACAGCTTTACGGAATCCATCTGTCCAGTTAACTTTATGTGGCTCTGTTCTTTCCTTAAAACCTGTGTCACTGTAGATTAACTCAGGTCAGTAATGCAGGTGTTGTTGTTGTTGTTATGTGCCATCGAGTCTTACCTGACTCATAGCGACCCCTCCTTGGGTTTCTGAGGCAGTATCACTTCGGAAGTAGATTACCCAACCTTCCTTCCAAGGAGTGGCTGGTGGATTTGAACCATCAGCTCTCTGACTAGCAGTCAAGTGCCTTAGGCACTACACTACCAGAGCCGTAATGCAGGTAGGAATGATGAAAGGTATGGAGAAGAGGTGTAGGCTGGAAGGCTACCAAAAGATAGATAGATTTGTGGGCAGTCTGATTATTTTAGGAGCAGTACTGCTCAAGCAAAGCTTTTTGTACTTTTCTTGAGGTCACATGGCTTCCTTTTGGCCATTTGGAGCTGCATTTTGCCTAGCTCTGCAAATGCTGAAGCCAAAGTATAAGTCTTTTCCTGTTGGAAGAGGACATGCTGCTTCATGCTAACAAGGCCAGGGGCACTTGAGGGTGTGTCCTAATGGTGGGAGTGTTAAATGAAGTGTAGCTCACTGTCAGGCTGCTTCTCACTTAAATGCTTTTTACAGACTTAACTCTTTATTTCTAAGGCAGTCAAAACCCAGAATAACCAAACTCACTTCCATTAGTCATTTCCAACTAATAGCGACCCCCATTGGGTTTCCAAGGCTATAAATCTTTTTTTTTTTTTTTATTGTGACTTGGGTGAAGATTTACAGAGCAAATTCACTTTCCATACAGCAGATCACATACACTTTTTCTCATGACATTGACCACAATTTACCACAATGGAACAGCTCCCCTCCTACTTTGTCCCCATAGTTACCTCTTCCCAATGTCTGTCCCTCCATGCACTCCTGCCCCCTGAGCTGTCTCCCTGTGCATAAGCAGCCCTTCTTTCTCCCATGATTGTTCTCTCCAAGCAGTGTATCTACCTCAGGTAAATGTTCAACTCAGATGTCTGTCTTTTGCTTGGCTGGAAACCACAGGTGTGGGTTCAATTCCAGACCTGAAGGGCAGCTAGGGGCCATAGTCTAAGTGGTTCCACCAGGCTCCATCAGACCAGCAAACCTGGTCCCTCTGCTTTTTTTTTTTCCAAATGATTTTGAGTTTTGTTCCACATTGTTCTCCCTCTCTATCAAGGATCTCCTACATAGATCCCCTTCCAGGTGGTTAGTTAACATTGGTAGCCGGGTACCATCTAGTTCTTCTGGTCTCATAGTTGCATAGGCTGCAGATCAGATGTTGTACCAATCTCTAGGACTAATTGTTTCCATGAATTTTGATTTTCTTCATCATTCTTTGCTTTGGACGAGGAGAGACCCATCATTGCATCTAGATGGCAGTTTGCAAGCTTTTAAGATCCCAGTCTTTACTCACCAAAGTAGGAGGTGGAACAGTGTTTTGTATAGTATGTTATGCCAGTTGAGCTTGATGTCCCCTGTGACTATGGTCCCAAGCCCACAGGTTCAACTACTCAATCCCTCTGAGTAGCTGGCTGTGACCAAGCAGTGACCACAACCTTGCTCCTTGTCAGCTCTACTAGACACCTGGGAATTCTGATCATTCACATAAACTTATAGGACCATTGTCTGCCAACCCTGTACATGATCTTGGATACACTTCCCACTTCATAGACATACCTAATAGTTCAGCCTGTCCACCCATCTATCCACCCGTATACCCATGGTTGCCTTCACTGACAACGCAGTACAGTATGTGCAAAAGGGTTAATCTTTGTTGTCTGTATCTCCCATGTACCTCTCTGTGTCTTTCTCTTCCTCAATGCCGCCATACTGGTCACTCACATTTGGTACATTGCCCTTCTCTTCACCTAAATCAATTCTTATCTCTATCTATCTAACAGCGTTCCCTCCTCTCTCCTTCCACCCCTGGTAACCAACAAAGAAAATTTCCTTCTATAGATAAACCTTTCCTTGACTTTTACAATATGGAATAATATAATATTTGTCCTTTTGTGATTGACTTATTTCACTCAGCATAATGTCCTCCAAGTTCATCCACATTACACGGTGTTTTGCAGATTCTACATTATTCTTTA